CGGCGGGTCTCCTTCGACGTGAGCTGTGGTGCATCACCCCCGGCGTCGAGGGTACACGGTGACGTGTTCGTGTGCAAACACACTTTTTGGTGACTCTGCTGGGGACGAAGCTTTGGATGGTCTCCAGCCCGTTCTTACTACGAAGAGATCATCATCTAGGGTTTGCAATCTACAAAGGTAATATGAATACCCAATTTACTTATGTAGATGAAAATAATGCATATGTTGTTGCTAGATCTTTTAATGAGAATAATGTGTTGGCTAGCCCTAGTTTTATCAATCATGCATCTAGTTATGCGCAACAGCCGATTCAAAATAATCTTCATGCTTCAACTTCATATAATTTTAGCAACATGCCACATATGTATCCCAACTCCAATGCATCAGCAACCCCACAAATCTATATGCCGATGAACAACATGATGAGTTCGATTAATCAAGTTGAGACACCCCATGTAGAAACTTCCAATAGTACGTAGCAAAGTGTTTCAACTTTTTATTCATCGGCAAATACCTTGAAGTATGTTAATCCAAACATGCCGGTGGATAGGGAAATTGGCCATGCTACTACTAATTATTCGGCCAATTACCCTAAAACATCATATGCTACACCTCATGCTACTAATTTTTTGGCACCATATGCAACTGTTGATGTCCATAATTCGGCTCCACACCTTCATGGTCATGCCCGAATAAGTGAAACTTCCGCAGGAGCTCAAGTGCCTTCACCTACTACCATGGCATATCATGTCCCCCCTACACAATTGTAAAATTTCGGCAACATCTCATTACCGAAAGAATCTAAAAGCATCGGGGGGCAACCATATCCAGATTGGGTCATTAAGAAAAATCTTACGTCTTTTTGGGATGAATGCAATGTTGTTCTACATGAATTAATAAAAGAGGGAAAGCCTATTAATTCTGCTGCAATACAAGCTAGATTATGTCAAAAACAGGAAGCATTGGGTGTGGATAGAATTATCAAAAAGAGTGGTGATTCGGATAACAAAGTTATTTTGGTTATTGAAAAGACCGAATCAAATATTAAGTATGTCGAATCTATTTTAGAAAAAGAGGACGACAAGGTGTTGGGGAGCTGTTCGAAAGAGGAACAAGATATCGTCCAAGTAACGCAACCATCATGCTCTCCCAACCTATTTGAAGAGGTATGCCTAGCAAGTGATTTACCTATCTTCTGATTTGGTCGCAACTTTATTGTTGATGCTTCTATAAGAAAAATTCTCATAAGTAATTTTGAAAGACCAATGAAGAAGGGTAATTTACTTATTAGCAATAAAATTGTTATAGAACATATCGGTTAACCCATTATGCCATTTATAAAGAATGATAGTGACTTATTATTGCAGCCAAAGTTTTGTCCATTGCTTTATCAAAATTTCATATCTAGCTAATTGGGTAGCTTTGCTTGTTTCATACTTGGCTTGCACTTGGTCTCAACTGAGACATGTGTATTCTAACTATTTTCGTTTCGCAAAATTAAAGCCAAGGTTAAATTATTTTGAGAAATTCGATGCTAATATAATATCTTATCCAAATACATCGGATATAGAGTGCAAAACACAATGCATAGCCGAATGGGGATATTTAAAATCTGAATCATTTGTTTGCTTAACTCCAAAGCCGTTCCCACACCAAGATCGGCTAAAAAACAAGAAGTATACCTTCAATTCAAACATTTGTGACCAAATATTTGATTTGTTGCTGAAAAATAACTACATTAAAATTCTTGATCGCCATTTCAAGCCATCAATCAAAGGACGAATATATTGTAAGTTGCATGATTCGTCCAAGCATAATTTGGAGGATTGCAATATGTTTCGTCAAATAGTTAAATCGTCCATTGAAAAAGGACGATTGGAATTTATTGAAACACCAAGAGATGACCAGTCTATTGCGATTGGTATTGATGGGAAAGAGTTTTTTAATCGGCTGCTTCAAGACGATTCCTTTAAAGATGAGAAGGTCAAAACTGCAGGTGATGGGATCAAGCTTTCAAATAAGGAAGTTGTTCAAGAGCATGATGAAAATATTCTTGAAGGCAAGAATTCCATCAAGGTTGCATTGAAGATGCCAAGTGCTAGGGGGCAACAAGAAAATCCAAAGATCAATGCAAGCACTACCAAAGAAAAGAAAGACCGAGGTAAGCACAAAGGTAAAAAGCCGAAAGTTACTTTTGCGCAACTATTGGAAAAATATGAGAAGATAAGTGAGGAGAAGATTGCTTATCGTCCAAATAATTCAAGAGCATCAAGATCACCCCCTAGGCGCAAATCTAAGGATCGATATTGGCAAAATGAGAATTCCAATGCATCATATTCATATCCATATTTTGGGTCATCAATGCCAATGCCATGGATACCTACCTATGCTAATTTTTATCCATATTCATCATGGGACAGGTATGATTCAAGTGCACATTTTCCATCTTATTTTAAAACATCTCACAAACATTATGCAGATCCAAGAGGATCAACATTTGATAAACAATCACATGTCAAAGACCGTTTCAATCATAAAGAATCGGTCCAGAGTTCAAGGAAGAATAAAGAGGTGGTCAAGCAAGTTTATCGCATTAAAAGATATAGTCGTAAGAGTACTACATCAGATTTGGTCTCAAACAAACAAGAGCCAGTTAAAGTGTTGACATTGGCTACAAAAGGCAACGAAGCAAGTAAATCAAGTGCCAAATTGAAAGAGAAGAAGTTGAGAGTGCACAAGGTAAAACGAGAATCGTCATTGAATCAAACAAAATCACAGCTGGGGTGCCCACTCGGCTCATCATATTGGAAAATGAAGAAATTGCAAAACCTTAGTGCACGGGAACTAGAAAAGAGGAACATGGCATGGGTTCCCAAAGGAAGTGTCCAAAATAAGAATTATATGGAAGCTTCCATTGCAAGAAGTGCGGTAAAGATGAAGAAAGGAAAAAGTGAAAACTATGAACAATCAAGCCGAAGGTTTGCACATCAAAATCTTCAGTTCAGACATTATCCCATTCTTCAGTTATGCCATTGATGGCGATGCCATGGAATTTATCCTCGGGTATGATTAGTTATCCTCCATGGGCTTATTTCAATACATGGGTGCAATATAATTTTTTACATCATGCAAGGGTATTACCACATCATCATATGTTCGATTAGCAGCACTTTAGTTGCTAATGGCCGATGCACCATTATCGTCCTAAGAGTATATATGGATGATAAATACTTTTTGCCCACATACAAATGGCCGATGGAGTGTTGATATCGTGCTTAGAAAAAACTCAGTGTATTTATTTTTGGCACACAAGTTTTGCCGAAAAACAGGGGGGCATGTGTTGACATCAGATTTTGGCACAGTCAAAAACATAATTAAGATGGTCTCAAATGGAGAAGTGATCTACATGAAAAAATTATGTATTATCGACATGAACATCTTTGAAGTTTGGGTCATCGCCATCCAATCTCATTTCGAAGGCTGAAGTTGTGTTCGAAATACTGAGATTTTGTATCCAGAACACTGTTCGGCCAATTACGCCTCAAGGACAGCCTAAATCAGAAAACTTTCTGCACGAATTGTCTTCGCCTCATTGGAACGGTTGATTTTGATATAAAGATCGTCTCAATCCGAAATCGTATGTAAAAGTTAGAGCCAAATGAGTACGGCCCTGCCACGGGCCAAAAGTGGCGCGCCCCATCACACATCATATCTGATGGGTAGCGCGAGTAATAGTTTGTCTTGCGCGAGCGATTCGGCTATGAAAATGGTCTCAAATCAAAAAATGTTGAACATGAAAGTTGTTTGTCTCGTCGAAACGGTTAAATTTTCTTTTGGCCGCATCTTCATCCAAGGTCGTTTGTGGCCTGTTAAAGTAAAAAACCGAACTGATGTCTCAGGCTTGCCTAAATCCGAGTTCGGTTAATTTTGGAAAGATTTGGACGGGATTTAAAGTCATTTTCTTGTACGGGAAGTCCAGCCGCCTTATAAATAGATGAGAGGTAACGGTCGATTGAACAACACATAATCAAACAATCATCTACCACTTTTAATTTTACTTTTATCTCTCTCCCTTGTTCTTCTTCTTCTTCATTTTTGATCGTTCTTTTTCATTGCATGACGGCAAACCTCGAGGCCCTAGGGGCGGTTAGGCCGGCCTAGGGCAACCCATAGCCGCTGCACGCTCTGACGGGGTCCCTCCCAGGCGTGTCCGGTTTCGGGTCCTTAAAAGCGCCCGCCGAATTGTCTTGCGTACCGCGCTTCCTGCGGGTCTTCTTCGACGTAAGCTGCGGTGCATCACCCCCGGCGTCGAGGGTACACGGTGACGTATTCGTGTGCGAACACTAGACGAATGATCTTTTCCCAAAGATGAGCTAGATCACGCCTAGCAGCCACCTTGTTTGTTTGCCTTCTTATTCTTGAATACAGTATAAACGTAGACACTTATGCATATGCACATACACTCATTCATATGAACACATGCATGCATATTTTCTATGAGCACCTCCAAGACACGTGAACCGACACATCATCTTAGATTGACAAGGTCGCCACCGACGCCTTCTTTTTCATAGGATACACTGTTGGTGAAGCGGGTCCTACGACGAATTAGCTTGAATGGCCGAAGTCGGTCAATTTTTTCGAAAGTATTGGGTGTCACTACTGACACCGAAAGTGTCATGCAAACGAAACAAGAGGATCGTGTCAGTTCACGCCCAGACGAAGGTCCAGAAGGAGCCCGCTCGCGTACTGCGTGCGTCCACCGCGGGAGCCCTTCCCCGGTCTACACGCTCCACTCTCCTCAAGTAAGTCCACCGCACGCGCACGTCATTTTTACGCCCTTTGAACGAGTCCTGCTCCTTCAGTGGCTCTCCGCCACGCACGCGCTGCACGCTATAAATCGCCGCGCGCGCAAGGCACCGCGCATCCTATCACTCGAGCAAACCAACCGATCACTCCGCGCTCAGCTACCTACATACGTTCACGGAGCTAGCGTACACATGGGCAACGCCGTGCCGCGCAGCATGCGCCACGAGGCCACGCCCAAAGCCAGGGCGGCCGTGGCCTCGCGCTCCGGGGCGAGGGCGGCCGTACCATCGGGACGCGCGGGCACGACGGCGCGCAGGCATGGCGGGAAGGTGGCGCGGGCCGCCGAGGGTCGACGCGCGGTCAAGGAGAAGCATGGGGGAGGCAGCGGCGGCAACGGGTCCGCCGTCGTGATGACGGTGAAGGTGGTGGTGACGAGGAAGGAAGCGGAGAAGCTGATCGCGCGGCTGGAGGAGCAGAGCGCGAGGGAGCGCAAGGCTAGGATCGCCGAGCTCACGGGCCAGCTCAGGTCGGGGGACGGCGGCGGCGGGAGGAGCCCGGCAACGTGCGGGGCGGCGCGGAAGCCGAGGCTCGCCGTGATACAGGAGAGCTAGCTCCGCGTATATGCATGTCGATCGACCTAGTCCCGCGCAGTAGCCACTGGCAGACGTGTCCGTAGTTTACGAGTTTTAGTACGTACGTACACAGTGCCTTAACCGCTGGTCACTCGCCACTCGGCCATGTACTTTGTTCAGCTAGCGTGGTTGCAAGAGGTGGCATGGCAATTGGACAGTATAGTATAAGGTTGGGTCATCTATTTTAAAACAGAGGAAATAGCGACTGGCTAAAATCAGGACAGTCTAATTTTCTTACTGGTATCGTTCTGCATTCCTTAGCTCTTTCGTTACCAAATATGAGTGATGACTGAAAAGAATTACGCCATAAGCTACGACCCCAGCCCCTCCATGCAAGTAAACAAAACGGTACAAGTGTGTCAGACAAATCAAAACACAAACACGATCAATTCAAGCCCATATCGCCCCGTTAGCTTGGCCCCAAATCTCGCACCATTGCGATAAGAACGCCCATGCATTCTTCGCCGTCCGGCGGCCGCGTTCTTAACAGGTAGAGGCACGTAGGCGACTCGGTCGCCCAGGCACTGAGCTATTGCCACTCGAGCGTAAGGAAAGCAACCCGACGACCCGAAAGCGGCCAATTTTGCAGCGGCGATGCGGTCGCCGCGCCACTCGCGGCATGTCCGTGCATCATTCGGTCCAGAGGCATGGCGCCCCCCGTGACGGCACGGCGCACGCGTCGCCGTCCGGTGCAGTGCACCAGGATCTGTGGAATGGAGCGCCGCCCGGCCCTCGCACGCGATCTTCCCGCATTTTTCTCCCTTCTCTTTAACCTCCACCAATCGGCGATGCAAGCGACTTTTACCTCTGAAATTCCACCACACGTTCGAATTTGGTCACGTAGAATGATTGTGTTTTGGACTTCCAAGTGATCCAATGGCGGGGTTCCGTGAATGCCAGGGGCTAAGGGGCCTTTGGCCACTTGATAAAGTACGGTCACCACCTGAGTCCAGAGTGAAGAGATTCTTACCTCCATGACCTGAGGCCGCTATCGGACCGTCGCCGTTGCAGACCGGCTCAAAGTTATCGTGCGCGAGTTAAGAAGGCAACGTGAGGCCTATCCAAGACCGTCTCGAATCCAACATGGTAAAGGGAGAAAGCAAAAGCGCAACCGAGACATGGGCGTATGACTGCTGCCCACGCCTCGATAAGTAGCCACAGGAGGAGTTCACTTGATTTGGTCTTGGAGAAATTGAGCACAGCGACTGCCAAGCAATCTTGTGCCAAGCCTACTACTACGACTTATTCAAAGTCTATTAAAAAAAAGAGGTTGTTGCAATGCCCATTAACATACATGGAAAAAGCTCAGCCGTTTTCGTTCTACTATGCTACTTGTACTGATAAATATTTTACAACTATGCAATAATCAAATATAATAAATCACCACATCCGGGGCCACCATCCCGACATAAAGTCAGACCGTCCCTTTGGAACGCATTGACCGAGCCGACACCCCTACCACTCAAGCGGGACGAGGATGTCACCCAACCAATGTTGAGATAGAGCCCCACCTCATAGAGCTGCCACTCACATTGTTCCCGAGATCGCCCTCTCGACGTACAATTAGAAACCCACCCGGAGCCGTCGCCCCGACGTCCACTGTCCCCGACGACGAATAGATCAATGCAAACTGCAACATGCTGACTTTCCAAGGCGATGCCTCAAAGAAGGAAACAACATAGCCGCCGTCATCGCCCGCTTCGACCATTCGAAGCTAGGGATTTCTCCCGGGGAGTCGTGTAATGGAGCTCCATGGCAACACCTTCAAGAAGGGGAACGACGCCATGGCCATGGCGCCGCTGTTGCCGGCACCGACCCAAGGTCAGTGCTAGACTTTCGTCCGGAGCTCCTCCACACCTCCGAATCCGAGCAGATCCGAAGCGTTGCGCAGCACCTTCCCGCTGCGCCAAGCTACCTCCGTCGTCGACCACCAAGCTCACGTGCATCACCACCCTGGCCACACCCACCTTCACACCAGAACCAGAAGCGCCAGACCACCGCCGCCCGCCGTCGCAGCAGCGCCACACAGAGTCGACGAGCAGAGTCGCGCGAGCGGTTGCCCTGAGCAGTGTGGGCTGCGGGCAATTGGGCTGTGCGGCGTTGCTGCTCAAGGCGAGCAGTGGTATGTCGGGACGGCGGCCCCGGAAGGTGGTGCCGTTTGATTGCGCTGAGCGCGACGGAGCGGTGGATGTTGGGGCGGCGGCCCCGAAAGAATCATTGTGGCGACCAGACTCCTGAGGCAACGATGATGGTGGGAAGCGATGTTGGCAATGCGGTAATGGTTGCGGTAGTCGGCTCTTCTCCGACGTGTCCACGGTTTTGCCTCGGTTTGCTTGTTGTTGTGGAGTCGAAGCTGCAGCGACGAGGCCTGTGGTGTACGATGACTGGCTGCAGCTGGCTCGTTCGGCGATTTTTTCGTGGCGCCAGCCGTGCCTGGTTTTGTTCTTCTAAGTTCTCCGTCAGATTTGGAGTTGCGTTGTCTGACTACAGGTCGACTTGTCGTCGATAAGGGTGGGCTTTGCCCTGTGTTGTTTAGTCTACTATAGGAGTGGGCTTGGCCCTTGTTATTTCGGTTTTTGCCGGGTTTCCCGTAATTAACCAGGCAATTCTCTTCTACTTAATTAATAGATGAGGCAACCTTTGCCTTCGTTTAAAAATAATAATAATAAATCAAATGTATTTTTAGTTTCAGTTCTCATATTATTAATTCAAATATTCATGTTTCATACAAATATATATATATAAATCAATGAAATACATTGCAACCAAAATCACACAGCAATCCATGGTGCATCATCTCATTGCGTCTAAAGGAGCAACAGTGAAAATCACAACAATAGATAGGAAGCGTCAGCTCATCTTGTATTATGTCTTTGGGCAGATTAAGTTCTGATAATGGCGTCAGTGATTACAAGAAAATTCAGCCTCGGGATATGTGAATGTACAAACTTTAGCGCTCGAGGCCAAGGCACCTCCAGCGATAATAAAATAAAAAATCAAGCAGCGGCAAGGAACGACATAATACATACAGAGATCTAGTTAATTTCCAGTGCCAGGGCGAGAGATTTCTGATCACATTACAACAAGTACAGTATTACAGGTGAACTTGACATCGTAATTTGTTTTCTTGGGATAGTAATCGTTATTTGCTACTACATCTCACTTCCCTCCAGAGTTTGGTTTTGCAAGCAGCTTCTTTGGTAGTTTATCCAGTGGGGTTGTTTTCAGAAGGAACAGTCTGGCCGCGCGCTCTTTTAAAGTGCCACCGCATTTTAGTCCATGAGTCTGGAGCTCAAGCTTTAGCTTCTCCATGCCAAGTATCTGGATGACAACAGAGTTTATGAACAACATGATATGTCAGAGACACTTCAAACTTCAAAACATATAAAGAGTGCAACATGATATGTCAGAGATACTTCAAACTTCAAAACATATAGTGAGTTCTACAGCGAAGTGTGTAAAAACAATCAAAGATCTAGACAAATGAGATTCAACAGAAGATGGCAAATAGATTTTACATACTCCCTCTGTTCCAAATTATTAGAATTTCTAGTTTTGTCTTAACTCAAACTTCTCTATATTTGACCAAGTCTATAGAAAAATGCACTAAGATGTGCAACATCAATCAAACATATAATGTAAGGAAATGTGTTCTATGATGAATTTAATGAAAAAACAATTTTGGTGTTGGTGAGATGTTAGTATATTTTTTCTCTAGACTTAATCAATCTTATAGAAGTTTGACTAGGACAAGCTAGAACTTCAGGAAATTTGGAACAGAGGGTGTACTGAACATAAGGTGGACATTAGAACAAAGAGCTCAGACCAAAGTAGTGTGGAGCTGGATGTCTTGTCATGAACCACAGTTCATAACTTGTTAAATGATAGAGGGCAGGGGTGGCACACAGCATGAAGGATACGAGATACTAGAATAGGGAGAAATAGACTATAGATGAGAGAAGAATCTTGATGATAGAAAGACTGATTATTTCTTAGTGCTTCATCTCCTAAGCTATGCAAAACGCAGACTACTATAGAGATGATTCAACTTGTCACCTAAGACTTCCAAACATAGATAAGAGAGAAGAATTTCGATGGTAGAAAGACATATTATTGCTTGAACTTGTAAGTTATGCAATGCATAGACAACAGAGATGACCCAGCTTATCACCAAAGACTCCCAGGGATTAAAATCCAATATAAAGAGAAGTAAAACTATTCTGATCATTAGTTAGAATTGCCAGGTCAAAATTTCTAGTACTCCCTCCAATCCATATTAACTGTCGCTGGTTTGGTACAACTTTGTAAACCAGCGACAATTAATACGGATCGGAGGGAGTAAGAAAATTTTCTAATCAAACAAGAGGGAGGCGGCAACTCCTGCTGTCCTAAGGGCCCATAACTGCAGTACACCGGCTATAGTACCTCGATGATTATAAGTCGACTGTTATCACAGGTGGATCCACTGAATGACAATGGAAGTTCTACACAAGCTAATTATGCAGGTTGAGTACAAATAATATATATGAGCTTCTGCACCAGCTGATTATGCATAAAAAATTCACAATTCCCATCAGCACCTCATGTAAAGATAAATTGGGCATAGAATAGGATGAGCTAGTGTTTCGGAGGGTAACATTAAACTTGTTGAGTATCAGAAAACAAACTATTGTGACTAGAACCATGAATGCTATTTGGATGGGCTGAAAGTAATTTGATCTTTAAAACTCTGGTTTAGGTAACTTGTGCTGTCATTGTGATAGTATGACATGTGTACACAAATTATGCTATATTACCACTAATTGGTACTAGCAGCTGACTTACTGTCAAGTTACTGAATTACCACGAGAATTCAGCTGCCTAGAGCAACGTCTCCTTTTATTTATGACAAAATCACTACTACCTCCTATCAACATGTCTGGCCCAGTGTTATTATGTAACTGTGGTGATAAATACACAACATACCTCCAATTCTGCTG